GAACTCACAAATTGTATTGTGGATGATGGCATTTAAAACAATAAAAGATCACCGGTACTGTATCTCAATATTAATGTGTTTTATTGGTAATAATGCAGGCTGACTTTACCATATTAGCAGAAATAAAGATTCTGTGTCTACATTCAGTGTTGAATTTGAATCCTGGAAAGAAGAGGACTCCAGGATTTCTGCCTGGTTATTAAAACACCTTATTCTTTTTCTGTGGGGTTACTTGAAATTTTTTTTTCCTGTTTGTACAAACTTTATAAACAGGCTGAGGCTAATACTTAGGTTTGCACTTTAATATCAGAATTAAACCAAACCTTGTATTCAAACTAGACTTTTTTTTTAAGTGATGGTTGTTGATCTTTTTTGTAGGTTGTAAGGAAGTAATAGGATATGAAAGTAATTCATAAAGATCCTAGTTTTCTTTTGTCTAAGAAGGAAAAAGTTGGTTGATATTGATCAGTGGTTCATTCCTATGGGTAGTTTTCAAAGCAGTGTTCATTTTCATTGACCTCAGCAAAAAAAAAAAAAAAAGAAAAAAAAAAACCACAAAAAACAAACAAATGAAAAAAAACCTTAAACTTGAACTAGCTTAGAGTGACAGGACTGGGAAAATGAGAGATGGTTTCTTCAGCACACTTTGGGGGGAAAAAGGGACCAAAAGTTTATTTAGGCTTCCTCAATAGTTTGCATGTGAAGTTGCTTATTAGAGTAAGAGGCTAATAATAAATGCAATATGTATTGTCTTTACTATGGCATCTGTTTAGGAGTTGTTCAAATCACTGCAGTAGGGCTCTACAAATAAAAATGTAACCTAACATCTTGTATCTAATGTACTGTATCTTTATCAGTGATAGGTGAAATCTGGAATAACAAGTGCAAAAATGGAACAATTACCTATAATGCTTTGTAAAAAGTTTTTTCCAGTAGAATTCATTCTTGTCATTTTGTAAGACAACCCTACAGTCCACCTGTTTGTAACTTTTTTAATAAAATAGATACCTGTATTACCAAACCAGGGTGAGTAGTCTGTGTTCAGTTTCTTCTGGAGTGGGCTGAACTGACAAGCTGCTGCTGCTTTTTGTTTTGTGGGTTGTTTTTGGGGTCCTGGTTTTATTCTAAATGCAGTAACCACATCTGAATTGTGTTGATTGAGTCCTGGTGTGGGGGAACAGGGTGTACAGCTGTGCCCCAGCTGGGTGTAAAGCTCACAGTCTCGGGTGCTCAGAGTGGGAGCAAGGGCTGTGCATGGTCATCCTGTGCAGGGCAGGCACTCCCTGAGCTGGGGCCAGTTCAGAGCAGCCCCTCACAGGCCAGTGTGATGGAGCTTTGTTCAAAAGAAATCTGTGTTTGTCTTGTGTGAGTCTTTAACGTTCTTGTTTTCACGCAGGCTTTATGTGTGTGAAGATGGCCACAAGTCCTGGCATCACCTTGCAGTGCCTGTAGCTGCCCTCCAGCCAGAGCTGACGTCTTTCCACCACCCTGGCAGAGTGAGTGCTCCTGGAGCTCTGCCACAGGAGGGGCACAAGATTTTTCCAGAAAACCAAAGTGCCCAAAGCTATTTGATAGCAATTATCTTAAATGCTCAGTAAAAGCCCTGAATTTGCCAAGTCAATGATTGTCATCTGGGCCCTGTAACAAAAAATGCATCTTCTTCAGGACATACAGTCTTGGCACTGACCTTTAGTACTGCCTTTGTAACTAAAGCTGTGCTTTAATGGAAAATGTGATTTCAAGTTGAGAAAAAGTTGATACTTTGGTACCTTCAGTCATTAGCAGTGTGTCAGCAGGCAAACCACGTAGCCTGCTCACCACCCCTCCTCCAGCTGAAACAGCATTAGCCTTATCTTGTAGGTTGGTTTCTGTGCTGTTTCTTCTTCCTGCTCACACTTCCTTTGCTGCAATAGAGAAGTAGTTTCCATCTCGAGAGTAGAATGATAGAGGCGAGCAGGGTGTGCTTAGAAGTGATTTTGGGTGAAATGTCGGCTTCCTTAACCAGCTGAGGTGTGAGGGTGACGCATGCCCAGTTCTCTTTAGTGTCACTGAGGGTGGGAACTGACACTTTAGGATCTGTCTGCTTTGTGGTGTCACTGCTGGGTTCATTGCTGTGTGAGTCTGACTTCTCGTGTGGTTTAAAAGTCAGAATGCAGCAAAAATGCTCCCAATTCCTTATGGCACTCAGTGTAACTAAGGAAGCTGATTCCTCTTTCCGCTGATAGGTTGGGAAGTGATGTGAGTACAGCTGTTAAGCCCCTGTGACTTACACCACTGGTTTGTTTCCAGGTGACAGTGTAATAGAGGGTGGGTGAGGATCTTAAGGAAGGACATAAGATCATTATTTAAGCCTATTATCTTTCAAAAGTCTTTGGTGCTGAGAGTGAACTCGACTGCTGCTGCACAGACTTGTGTAGCATCCTTTGTTAAATAGGTGTGGCAATGTCACGTTGCTCTGTCTGGTTTTGGGGTTGTTTATGTAGTGTTTCATGGCAGCTTTTTCTTTGGTCTACCGGGTCTTGCTCTACAGGTGCCTGCCGTGTCCTGCTTCTCCCGTGCAGCCAGAGGACAGGGATGCCCCCGCAGAGCCATCAGAGAGCAGGAGCCACCTGCAGCACAGGCAGGAGCCTGTCCCCACCCCGCTGCCCCAGCCAGCACGGGTGGCACGTATCTGTGGCACTGCCCGGGGCAGAGCTGGGCTGCAGCCCGGCTGGGTGTGCAGGTACAGCCCAGAGCCACACGAGCCCACAGCCGGCACGGAGACACCCTGCCCGGGCGGAGGGTGAACCACCGGCCACACCTCGTGTGGAGCCGCACGCTGGCATCTGCTGGGCTGTAATTACAGTGTGAAACTCGGTGGAAGTGTCTGGTGTTAATTAAAATGAGATCGGGGCTGGGAGCAGTGCGTGCTGCCGTGTGAGCGGTGTGCGCTGCAGAGGCGGTGCGGGGCTGGGGAGTCAATGCTCGCTGCGGGAAGCGCAAACAGCGGCCGCGCTCTGGCAGGAGATGACGTGGCCGATGTTCTGCGCTCTGAAAGTGAAATAATGTGGGTTTGGGGTGTTTTCCATAGCTGCTTTTATCTCTGCCTGGTCAGTGCAGCTGCGAGGAGCAGAGGAGGACGACTCTGAGCTCCGTTCAGAGGGGATGTCCGCTGGTGCTGCTGGGGGCAGCACCGAGCTGGGCTGGCAGTGACCCTGCTGATGGCAGGATTGCAGGGGAGGAAACTTGTTCTCTCTGGAAACAGTGTATTTAGTGTGGAATCAGCTTGCTAGCCGCTGGTGCTCTCCTTCAAAGCCGTTTTCTTCAAGTCCCTCCAAAGGCTCTGGAGCAGTAACTGCAATAATTGATGGGAAAGAGTCTCTCATGTTGTAGGAATCTGTAAAATATTCACTCATAGGGGAGGTTTTGCTGCTTGTTTGGTTTGTGGCATGTCTGTGCTCCTTGGTGTTCTGCTGGTTCAGTCTGAGTGTGCTGTGACAGCTCTCTTAGCAGTGCCTTCCTTCCTCCTAAGCATATTTGCAGTGATTGTAAATGGCATGGGATTTGAGACTCAGCCACACTGCCAGTTACTGGGTGACCTCCATTGTTCTTGCCTGGGAAGAAAAATCGTAACTGTAGCACTTCCCTGCTGGGGCATATGGGGAAGGGTGTGTTAGAGATGTGGAGGTTCTTGGACTGGCTTGGAATCAGACGCATCAGTGTTGTAGAATAATTTTGAAATTGGACTTCTTGCATGTAAATAAATAAGTGGACTAGAACTTAAATAACAAAGTTGAAACATTCTGAGATTTATGAAAAGGTTTAATATTTCATACATTTGGGAGACTACAAGGTCTCTTTTCAGTCTTAAAACTCATGCTTCTACTAAAAGGTTTGATTGATTTATAACTGCAACTCAGTAAAGGAAGCAATCAACTTTCTGGGAAATTTCTGGCTTTTCCAGAAACTGTTTCTTTTCTCCTGCCACTAGGCTGACTAGTTCATACAGTTTTATGTCCTTTGAAGATCTACCTTGACATTCTGTTTAAATTATTTGGTCAGCCCAGAAGAGAGAAAATACACTTGCTGTCTGTGACATTTCTGAAGGGCTACTTGTCTTTTTGGGAACTGGTAAGATAGGATGATAAGTTTTCAGCTTGGGATTCATCCTGCTGCTGGGACAGATCTTAGACCCTTTTTCTCCAAATTAATAATGATTATGTAATCATCAACAGCCTGGCTTCTGTGGAAAACAAGAAGAATTTCACTGAATTTTCAGAAAGCTGATCTGTGTTGGAAAAGAGAGAAAGCTGCTCACAGAGCACATGTAAGTGCTAGAGCAAGTTGCAGTTATGTGGGGTGGTGAGGGATTTTCTAAGGTTGGATAACCCCTGCTGGAGGAAGGAGTGTGTGAGGTGAGTGTAGCTCCTGCCTCTGTGTGTTGGGCTGTCATGTGCGTCTCTTGCAGGGACCACAGTCATATTACTGGTCTTGTCATTATTTTCCATTCGTTGTTCCAGGAATTAGCACAGCCTTGCCAAATGCTCTGGGTCTAATCTCAGTAATGCAGATGTTTTAATAGGTTAGAAGAAAGATTTTAGCTGCAGGGCCTGCCCATTATCAGGCTGTGGTTAGAAGTGCTTGTGTGTCCAGCTGCATTCCTTTCCTCTCAGCTGTCTGTGAAGTAGTTGTCAGCACAGGATCATCCGAATGGCTCCCTCTTGGGGCCCGCTTTAATAACCTGGAAAGATTTTGTGAATGTACCCCTGAAACCCTGGGACCTCGTAGGAATGTTTCCTGGTTTTGGAAATATGTCTGTCTTGTAGCTGTCACCACCTGCCAGAAGACCCTAGAAGAGAAGCCATGAATTTGGGATCACCTTTGATCACTACAAAAGTACCAAGCTCCCAGCTTCAGGTGGATACTGCTCTGTTCTCCTCCCTGCCTGCTGTGAAGAGTGGCTTTGACATGCCTTTCCCTCTGCTGTGAGCTGTATTCCTGGAATCTGGTGTGCCCTGAAGTGTGATAGGGTCTTTTGAGAAAGAATAAAAGGAAAAAAAAGAGTGGGGGTAGAGGGGCTATGAGGGAGGGAAGTGTTAATAAAACTCAGGATGAAGATCCATGTGGTGGAATGGGTCTGATCCATTGGCCTGGAGGTACCTGGAGAGCAAGTGCATTTCTTTGTCTAGCTGTAATCAAGGCTTACTCAACCAGAGTCCTTTGTCTTGAGCCAAGAGGGGAACCACATCTGCCATGAAAATAAGCAGTATAGTTCCTTAGAACTCTATCCTTCCCACTAGGATTCACCTGGCATTGCAGACTCCATTTGGCAGCTTCCTCAGATGAAGCCATTGGCTGTAGGATCCTTCCTGATGCTCAGCAAGCGGCCCAGCAGCAGCATGTGTGAAAAAATAAAGGACAGCAAAAAACAGAGGGACCATCCCAGTGCTGTGCACTGCTGCACAGGAGTGGCGAGGTGCCTCTCCCTAGCTGGAAATCACTGAATGCTGGGCAGTGCCCAAGTTCTTGGAGGCATCAGTGCTCCTTTGATTCAATACTTTTAAGAGGCTTTCTCTTGCTGCAGAAATTTCTTTCTCGTGTCATTGAAGTGACCTGTTTGAATTAAACATCAGAGTGCTTTTTATATAGCTGTGCCAACAACACAGTGCAACTGGCATATCAAAAATGATATAAAGTGGTCTGGATATCAGCAGAGTCAGGGCAGTATTTAGTTCATTGTACAGTTTGTGCTGTTATTTGTATTTGCTTACAGCAAGCTGCTTCCTGCAGTCCTGGTAATAGTTTTTACATAGCATATAAAATCTGAAAAAGGAGGAAGAGTCAGCAGTGCCCATGGGTGGTTGCTGGAGTGACCTGCTCATCCCTGCACATCCTCTCTGTGTTTGCTGTGGGGCACCAGGAGCACCACGAGAGGGAGTGTGGAGGCAGCGAGTGCCTTGTCCTGGCATGGTCCGGCTCAGAGCGGGCGCTGCTCCGGCCCAGGAGCCAAACACGGGCTGAAAACAGAGCAGAAATGGAAATAAATTTATGTTTCAGGGCTTCGGGACTCCAAAGAATGTTCTGCACCTAAGGTTAATTTTCTCAGGTGTCTGGAATTGCAGTTATGCTTGGAGTCTTTAGTGCATAATCAAGGTTATTTGGGATTTCCTACTCTGTTATTGCAGGTAGGTAAAAAGAGCCACTTACCTTAGCTGCTGAAGCTGAAATAAAAATATAATCACAAGAATAAGATTTGCTTTAATTCTGTGATTCCTTGAGATTATGAAATAATTTTGCCTTGGGTGGGACTGGGGCAAAATGCTGCTGCATAATGTCACCTTCTGATATCAAAATGCTGTTCACAGAACTCTTATCCTGCAGTTGGAAGGTAATGGGTGAACCCTACCTAAACACAAAATAAAAAATGCAATTATTTCCCTTTTCCAAGCGATTACCTATGATTAATGAGTTTCAGGACACTGATGTCAGACTATTTAGCTGATGGTAAGCAAAATTTGATGAAAATATAAATGTATCATTATTTATTATATTAAATAAAAAGAACAGTTTTGAGGCACAAGTTTTTAGAAGGGCAGTACATGGCAAGTCAGATCTAAGCATTGAGATATGTTCAAGATATAATGTGGAGAAAATGTAAAACAATGATCACTGTTAAAGGTTTAAAGAAGGACCTGGACTGTCCCCTACAGGTGTGTCTAAATCAACTCTGGTTTTTCCAGCCTGCTCCAGTGTTCTTTCTGCCTCACAATTTAAGGGTCTTTTCTAGGACCTAACTCAGATCTTCTCTGCAGTTTCTAGCAAACTCCTCATTTTCTCTTTAGCTTGGGAACACAGCCGATCCATTCTGGAGTGGCTCTGCATCAATCAGGTGATTGTTGTTCCTTTCTTCTCTTCTTAAGTTAACAAACTCAATTTTTTCAGGCTTTCTTTTTTGAAAATAGTTTTTAGGGGGTACATTTTATAAAAATTTTAAAGCAATTGTGTATAAGCTGGGACCCCAGCTGAGAGTGAAGCCATTCCTCCTCAAAGGGGCAGCAGGAATGTGGTAGGTACCCTATTCTGGAAATAAATGTCCCTGCTTACAGTGCTGGTGCCATCCTTGGATCCATTAACCAGCTGGGGTAGCCTGTTGTGGGCCTGGAGCTGTTCAGAAGGATTTTGGCTGTGCCAGAGTCTGCTCTCAGTAATGCAGCCAAGAGTTGCTCCCTGGCCCTGCAGCTGGGGCAGTTATGGCTGGGTGAGGAGGGAACGTGGATGTTTGTGCTTGCAGCTCCAGCTGAGGAAGGGGAGGTGAAATGTGAGTGTATGAAAGGTCACAGCTGACCAAAGTCCACCTGGGTGAGTCCTGTCTGGCATTTCAAGTGTTCATTTCTGTCTGCTCAGCAGTGAGCTGGGTGTGGGTTCTTGCCTCTTGGACTGTGGTGTTTAAAATCCCCTGGCAGATTATTCAGTGATTTTATCTATTTCCTTTCCACTAAACCAAATGTGAAGATAAACATGACAAAACCTAAGGGACAGCAATGCACAGTGATGCAGGGGTAGCATGTTATGTCCAGGGTTTGTTCTCTCACAGCCTGCTGCTCTCTGAGGAGGCAGGGGGGAGGTTTGGGGCTTTTCCTTGCCCATCCCCAGCCCCAAACCAGGACAGCAGCTCTGAACTGGCTGGTCACTGCCCAGTGACAATGGCTCACCCTTCCAGGAGGCTCTGCAGGGTGTAGCTGCAGTGCTCAGCTCTCTGCCCTGTCTCTGCCCTCCCTCCAACACTGACAGGGAACAAAGGAGAAACTCCCAAACGTGGATGTGAGCATTCTCCTTGGAAAAAGCGGCAGCTGGGTTTGGGAGGAAGGAAACTTCTTGTTTCTTGCTCTGCTCAGTCCATCCCAGCAAGCTGCAGGGTATTTTAGAGGCTGAAGAAGACCCTGAGACAATGCATCCAGCCTAATATGCATTGTCAGATGCACTTGGTGGAAGAAAGTCCTTCCTGGTGCAATGCAGGATGGTGGTAGTGAGGTCCAGAGTATTTCAAACCAAGGGCTGAGCTGGCTGAGCAAGGAGCCCTGAAGCAGAACTCACTCCACCATGCTGCTCCTCAGGCCCCACTGTGCTCTGGTGCTGCTGCTTGGGGTCCCCTCCCCACCTGCCACTAGGGCTGTGCTTGCCCTTCACAGGTTCTGTGCTTTCCTGAACAATTTTCATTTTTCCCTGCCCCTGCAGACAGGGAGGACATACATACCAGGCTGGACTTTGGCACTGGCTCAGGCCAGGATCTTGCATTGCTCCTGGTGTTCCCCTTGTGTGCTGCTCCGGCTGGCCCCCAAGTCACCTCCAGAAGGAGATAGGTGGGGATAAAAGAGGTTCCTCACCTGCTCAGACAGCAGCAATCTCCATGCCCCAAGCAAACCTTGCTTGTCCCACATCTCTTCTTGCTGTCCTTCAGTATCCTGTCCCAAAAAGCTCTTGTTAACGTAGCTTGATCCTGTTTGCTGTTGCTGCTGGCTCCATGCTGTATCCATGGATAGTTTAGCTTTGATAGGATGGCCAGAGGTCCTGTCTGACCCAAAACAGCCTTATTCCTTCATAGCAAGGTCGTGAAATAAGCCATGTCCTTCTGCCCACAGCCCGACTGGCCAGTGCCCAGCTTCCAACAGCATCTGTGAAGTCCAGGGTCAGTGCCCTGGCATGCCAGGAAAGCCTGCAGCAGAGAGATTTGGCTTCTTCTGGGCTTTGGGGGCTCCTCTATTGCACCCCCATAGATCCCTCCTGCCAGCCCAGCGTCCCTCCATGCTCCCAGTGCAGAGTTGTGCCTGTGACAGGAGAGGCACTCACAGGAGAGCTGCTCCTCTCCTTGTGCCTGTCAGTATCTGACAGCACAAACACTTTTAGCTGCAGAGGGAAAGTGCTCTCAGCCCCCCCAGGATGGTTTGTACGTGGTGCTGCCCTTGTCCTGTGACACAAAGAGCTCAGACCCCAGGGCCACGTGCAGATCTGCAAATGTGGTCCTTGACGTGGTGCTGGCACAGGGGGCACAGCCATCCCCTCCTGGCTGTGGAGCACAATGGGCTCAGCTGATTTGTGGAGCAGCTTCATAGGGAAAATCAGGTTGGCTTTGATTTTCAGGCTCCTTTTTGTCTTGGTTAGCAGAAGACTTATACTTTTTTCTGTGGATAAAAAACTTTATGGTCTTTCTCTCTGCACCAGAGAGGACAAGGTATGTTGCCCTGATGGCCTCTGTCTTGACTTCCTCAGGAATGTTTGGGAAGTGAAAGAGAGGCCATAGCAAATGGAGTGAAGTGACTTACAGTGAAAGTTTCAATAAAAATAGGCAAGAGAGCACCAAGCAAAATCTCTGCAGCACTAAATGTGGGGTTTTTTTGTTTGCTGTGGTTTTTTGTTGCTGTTTTTTTGTTTGTTTCTATCACTCTGGGTCCCCCAGGATCGTGTGTGGTTGTGACTTTCCAGCAGCAGCAATAACGACCCCCTGTGCCAGTCCAGAGCCTGCCTTTGGCACTGCTCAGTGCATTTATTTCTGAAAGTGGGGGCTCCTGCCCAAAGGCTGCTTTCACCAGAAGCTCAGTGAGGTGGTGTCTGATGGGTGAGAGGAACCAGAGGGGTCAGAGAACTCCTCATGGCCCCCACGATGGGCTGGGGAGTGGGGACATGGGCTTCTCAGATTTGAGCTGGGAACCAGGTTGTCTCAAAGGCTTGTGAGACTTCATTAAGCTACTCAACCACGGTGTGAGTGGGAATTAGGGGCAGGTTCTCCTCTGCCTCTCCAGGAAGGACTCGCAACTGGTTTTGAGTCCAGTGGGAAACATTTTCCAGTCTCTGGTGAAGTACATCAGCCCATCCACACATCACTTAGTGGACAGGACATGATCTGCCCATCCCATGGAGCCAGCACAGCTGCCAGCCAGCTGCTCTCCCTTAGCCAGAGCAGAGCAGGGGTGACACTCACTGCAGGGTGACTTTGGCAGAAGAGATGCTCAGCTCTTCTCCCCTGACCCTGTGGTACCAACCGTGCCTTGCTTTGCCCTCGCATTGCTCACCACCAGCTGGAAGAGCTGAGTATTTATCTCAGCCCCATTACTGCCAATCTTCCCCCTATTGATACACCCATAATTCACAGGCAGAAAACATCTTTTATTGCAGTGGTGACATTTAAACCAAGGGAGGTGTTGGTTTGTTTGGTTTTTTGGGTTTTTTTTTAAATTAGTTTTTAGGCAGTCAGCTCGTTTGCTCCAGCCTCTGCTCCACATCAGTGAGTGCAGCCTTCTCCATCCAGCTGAGAGGGAATTATGTGTGCAAGAGGAGTCAGGGCTCCCTTCCCAGCTGCTGGCTCACACTGCTAGCACTGCCGTGCCTGCTGCACACCCAGCCCGTGCCCGAGGATGCTGCACCTGAAAGTCCAGTTCCTGGATGATTCCCAGAAGATCTTTGTAGTTGATGTAAGTGGTATCATATTCTTACTGATTTTTTTTGGTGTTAATTATTAAGTCATTGCTGCTCTGAATTGTTGCATGGTCTCTGATAGCTTATTGTTTTAAGCTTTAAAAAAAAACCCACCCAGCAAACAAACAAGAAAACCAATCTCAAATTTAAAATTAAGCTTTCTAGTACTAATTGGTAAGTGTTTTTTTGGTATCAACACACTCCTATGCTTCCCTGTTATTGGCATTATTTATGAAGAAGGAGGAATGGCTTTTACTTACCCGATGTGATCTTTAGTAAATCAGTTAATATTAAGTGATGCTCTTGACAATTGTCGAGTTCTCTCGTTTGTCTGGCTGCCAGTGTAAACATTCAGCAAGGAAGTAAAATCTGGGAACAGAATAAAAATAGCATATTTGTCCAAGTTATCCCTGTTGAGAAACATCTGCACACATCTTCTCCTGGGCATTCAGTTGAAAAAAAAACCTGTGTAGTTTTGTGAATAGCTGAGAAAAAAACTCTACCTTATTTTTTGCATGGCAGTGTCCCACAGCACATTGTGATTAATAATTCACATTTAACAAATGCTAGATCTGAACTAGGTTTAAAATGTTAAGTATTAATATCTATGGTGTTAGATTTATGCATATGTGTACAGATAACTGAAAGTAGGTTTGTCTTGACTGTGTGTTAGAAGCATCTTTTACAAGTGTGATTGCACATTTACTGTTGGTTAGGGTTTGATAATCACAGCAGCTAATTGAATTAGCTAATTAAAGTAGATTTGTTCTAGTACTTACCTGCATCTCCTGTGGGAGCAGAGTGTTTAATATAAAGTGGGTTTTTTTCTAGTTCTGTTGCTTTTCTTCTACTGTCCTCTTCTGTGGTTTATAGCACAGCTCGAGAGCTGCTCTCAGACGCACAGCTCCATTTCTTTGTGACAGTATTTTGCACAAAAGAGGATTATAAGGCAATTCCATCCCTTGATACAGTATGGAAATTGTTTGATTCAGTTTAATTAATCTGTCCTAGTCTAGGAGTCAGTTTGAAAATGAGACTGGTCATTTTAAAATGCCTTCCCCTCCTTTCCCCATTGATTAGATCAGGTTATAGTGAGACACAATTCAGAAGATGCTTCTGCTACAATGCTGCTGCATTTTTTTTCCATCTGTTTTCTTATTTTCTCAAAACGCAGCACTACAGCTCTGCACGACATGTTATTGCAGCAAATAGCTTCCATTAGAGGAACTCCTGGTCATTCCCTTTTTTAGCATGGAATGGTATTGGAAACCCCTTTTAGGCATTTCATGCATTTGCTGCTGATGCTGTGTGGGTACAATAAATGAGTAGCTGAATTAGTGACTTCTCCAGTATAAAAGGAGTGCTTTGGGCTAAGTTTTGAGCAGATATTTTAAGCAACTCTTCCTAAACCCCTCCTGACTTTGGAAAGCTCTTTTGAATGAGGAGTACTTCAGTATAATGGGAGGGAAGAGGACAAAAGAAAGAAAACACAGAGGGCCTGACTCCCCCTGCACCTCCTGCTCAGTGTAAACTCTCTACCTGCCTCCCATGGGTGTCACAGCTGCTGGCATGTGCAGCAAGGTCTCCTTTCCAGGCTGCTTTGCATGAGAACCAGTTCCTCTCCTGGTGCTGGATGCTGACCCAGGAAGGTTTCTGCCTCCATCTGCCTCCTTGCTGACAGCTGGGACCACTGAGTTCCCAGGATTTCCTTCAGCTGGGCACTGGAGGTGGTTCCTGGCATAACAGGTCTGAGCCCTCAGGGCAGGGGAGGGACGGGCTTGGCACATCTCTGAATGTGCCCACTGTGCCCTCCCTGCTGAGCACCCCATGGCTGGGCCTGGGATGCTGATGGCAAACCAAAAAGCCCAGAAAAACCAGCTGCTGAGGCTGAGTGAAGGACAGAGCCTCTGTGGTCGTGTGTCCCTTGTAAAGCTGGTTATTCCTTGCCAGGTGTGTGGGCCTGCTGGCAGAGGAGCGAGGGCACAGGGAGGCTGGTGGCTTTTGGTGCCTGACACTCTGTGCTGGCTGCAGCACCCCTGATAGGGCAGGCATCTCCCAAGGTGGTGGGAGAAGATCACAGCAAATCCCATGAGCTGCTGCTCACCCCTAAACCAAGGATCTGGGTGCAGCAGCCTGTCCTGTGGGAGTGCTGCAGAACTGGGCTTTGCCACTGGGCTGCAGGTGCTGCCAGAGTCCCTTTGGGGACGTGGCCATGTGTGTGTCCCGTGTGCTGCACGTGTTGCTGTCTGCCTCTGCAAGTGCCTCTGGCTTTCTGGTTCTGCTCCCAGTCCCAGATGCTTTCACCAAGGAGTGAAGGGCAAGTCCAGCTCTCCTTTTCACTTTCTGCTCTGGGGTTTCTGCCTGTGGGTGCTCACCTGGCCCTGTGTCATTCCCAGAGGCAGCTGTAGGCTGGGACAAGGGACAAACAGCCCCACATGTCATGCCTGTGCCTTGCCCTGTGCTCCTCCAGCACAGACCCCACTTCTCTCATTTGGTGCAGTGCAGGGCTGATGCTGCTGAGCAAAACTGTACCCCAGTGCTTGAGGAAGCACTGGCCTTAGCACCCCAAAATCCAGGACAGGACACCTGCAAGCACCACTCTGCAAGAGAAGGGCTCTTCTAAAGCATCCCCTGCAGCAGCAGGGCTGTGTCTCCCAGTGAGCAGGTTTTCCTGGGTTTGGGGCTGCTCCTGTCCCGTGGTGCCTGCCCTGGGCAGTGCTGGCTTGGAGCAGAGTGGGTTGATGCCAGCAGACATATGGTAGGTAATAACCCAGTAAGAAATGCTTGTCTTTTCTGGCTGCCTGACAAAGGCCAAGGCCTTTCATGCTAGAAAATTCTAGCTTGGGAAAAAACATTTATAATTTTTTTTAATTACCCTTGTGATCCAGTAATTTTGAGGAGAACTGGGAGTGCTGCAGAGCAAATGCTGTTATTATGCTATCACTTTTCTGCAGCCTTTCAGCACAGAGCCAGCAATTTTATCCCAGGAGAAGCCCTGAAAGGTGGTTATTAGAGTGCATCACCACCAGCAGCCAGGTCCCTCCCATCCCTGCTGGGGACAGCCACTGCCACAGGGAGCTGCAGCCTGTCTTTCCCTCCATCACCCAACATGTGATAATTTAGCAGCTGTCTAACCTGGCCTCTCTGCTCCAGCCTGCTTTTGCAATAACCATTACTTCTTTTTGGTCTGCTTTTCACAAGCTGATGAAGGCGTATCAGGGTTTTGTTGGGGTGGGTCACTGCCATTTTAATTTCTGGTGCTTTGTGCAGCATTTTCCAGAGTCAGAGCCTCCTGGTTTGTTTTCCAGCCAGGTCATACAGCATGGCAACAAGTCAAGAAAACACCCTCCAAGTGTTTCTGTTTACTGGGAATAACTACAGCCTGGCCTCCCTTATCAGCATTGTAGCACCACTTAATTCATATTGCTAAAGCCCACAGATGACTCAGAGCCCACGGCACAGGATCCAGTTGCTGTTAATTACCATTAACCATAATAGCAGCTCATCCCCAGCTGTTGGGACACAGGGACTCACTGCACAGGTTTGAGGTCTGCTCCCGTTGGCTCCTAATGAACACGTTTGCCATGGCTGTCCCTGGTTCAGGCAGGTGCTCGTCCTGGGGATCACTCACTGCCTTGCCAGGGACAGACCTGCCCAGACAGTGATAGTTGCAAACAGTGAAGCAAAACATGGTTTATTTTCTCTTGCTCTCCTTTCTGGTTTATGTTCCTTAATAAGGGAGAGAAGGGATGGGAAGGAATCTGATTTCCAAAAGCTGGGAGCACAGCATGCAGTTGTCCTGTTGTACATGCTGAAGCCAACAGCATTTATTGAGTAAGGTTCTGCTGCTGCATGGTTGTCATGCAGGCCCCAGCCAGGTAATAATTAGCATTGACTCCATGACTTTCAGAAAGCTGATCAATCACTATTATTCTATACTTATTAAGAAACCCATCACCCTTACAGACAGTCACGGTACAGGTGGATCCAATTGGTCCTTGAATCCAAACACCATCACCATTGGCCAATTAAGAAACCACCCTTTGGTAAACAAATCTCCTTAACACATTCCACATGTTCACAACAGCAGGTGCAGCAAGTGAAGATAAGGATTGTTTCTCATTCTTTTCTCTGATCTTCTCCCAGCCCTCCCCAGGACAATGCCTGGGAAAGTCTGTGCCTGCTCCCTGTGGCCAGAGAGCTGCTGCCACACATGGTCAGGAAAGAGGTGAAGGGAGGGAGCTGAAACTTCTCCCCACCTCTCTGCAATCCCATCACGCTGCTGTCAGCATTGCCTAACCTGCTGCCTCTGTGCTGTGTTTGTTTGCCAGCAAAAATCCTGTGGGAAAGGGCTCTTCAACCTCACCTGCAGCCACCTCAACCTCGTGGAGAAGGAGTACTTTGGGCTGGAGTTTCACAGCCAGGCTGGGAACCAGGTGAGTGCAGCCGGCAGCACAGGCCCTGGAACTGCCATTGCCTGCATGGCTGAGGATTGTTAGCACCTCCTCGAAATTCCAAATGGAAAATTAAATAGAAAGTTTTGCCATGATGGCAGAAAAACCCTGAAAATTTTGAGTTGGGAGGGGAGCCACAAGCCCCCATGATATCTACAGCTCATGGTCTATCCATAGCCATCCATGTGGCACTGCCCAGCAGGACACTTGTCACAGCAGCCAAGCTGGCCAACATTTTCATGCTGCATTCTACCATGCTGTTGCTGCTTTTATTCCTCATCTCTTGTGCTGTTTATTTACCCAGCTCTTCTTTGCCTTATTTCAGGTCTGGTTGGAACCACTAAAACCCATAACAAAGCAAGTCAAAAGTAAGTATTTCAAGAATAGAATTGTCATAAATCATTTCCAGTGACAATCTAGCACAGACACATTCATGCAATGTTGTTGCTGGGGGACAGGATCTCTGGCTTCCAGCACTTAACCAGGCTCATTTTAGAGGGTGTGGCTGGGCAGGATTGTTTGCAAGGACACCTCAATCCATACAAAATCCCGTGGAAATACCACTGCTTTTGCAATCTGGTATCTGCACCATTTTAGGCTGGAGCTGTTAATAATCTGACAGCTTGGCAGGGGAGCGGGGTGGCTGAGTGGCCGTGCTGGCAGTGTGACAGGCACTGCTCCTGCGTGCCCTCCTTCTCCCTTTGCAGCTCAGAGTGGAACAGGCACCTGCGTGAGGCAGGGTCCCCCCTCTGCCCTGCAGCTCCTCCCCAGCCCCAGGGAGATGCTGCAGAGCCTGACCTGAATTCAGGCCCACCTCCTCTGCCTGGCCATGACCGGTGTTAACACAGTGCTGCTTTCAGCACAGGCCTCTTTCTGTCCCGTAATATTTTCCCCAAGTACAGGATGGCTGGGAGGTGACTGAGAGCCTGGGGCCATGACCCCAGTCTTTGCCATGGGGAGGCTGCAGAACAGTGTTTGCATGAATTTCCCTGAAAGAGGAAAGCCTGATAAGGAGCCTTCCCTTTCTGGGTGCAGCACAAATGGAATTGTTGCAGGCACCTATTTCCTTTACCAAATGCCTTCTGGCCTGTCCTCTGAGCCATCCCAGGGTGTTCTGTGACAATCGGTGCTTACTTAATTGCCTCCCTCCCTCCACACATTCTGCCTTGGGCTTGGCTGCTTGTTCTCACTCATCCCACAAAAAAGCCTTTGCCCAAGAAGCCTCCTATGGAGTTGTTGCATCCCAAGTGCTTGGAGGGCTGAGTTTAACACAGCCCCAGCAATGCCAATTACACCAAGGCTCTGGCCATGCTCCCTGGCACCATTACATGGAATCCCCCTCTGTCACCCTGTTCTTTGGAGAGTTTTAAAGTTCTAAAAGTTCTTTATGCCTTCTGATGTTTACATATTTCTACTGAATTTTCTCACACTGTTCATGTAAATAATGATTGTTTTGTATTTTTCTTTGTGGGTGCGGAGAATTGATGGACTGTTGGTTTGACTAGTGTAATTGGGGAAGTGGCAATTTCACCCTCCAATCCACTGTCACTTTTGCTATTTTATATATAGTGGAGTCAGAAAATAAAATCCTCTATTTTAGTTCTTTTTTTCCCTCTTTTGCATCTAGTGTCCATGTGTGAGTTATTTCGTGTAGTAGTGTGACATCCCTCCAACAGGGATTTTTGCAGTTTAAAGAATTGCTGGGACATTTTTCTCTTTCATATTCTTTAGATATCCAAATCTCTATTTGGATATTTGGGAGAATATTGGTAATATCGGGGGCCTGGGTAGGCTGGTTTTGGGGAAGCAGGCTGTAGTCCCTGATTTGTAAGGAGGCAGCATGTGTCAAGAGAGTTGTAAATGTTCTCAATAGACATGTAAAAGAAAACTTATGAAGATGTTGTGTTTTAAGATCCTAAGGAGGTTCTTTTCAAATTTATGGTGAAATTTTTCCCAGTGGACCCCGGCCACCTGAGAGAAGAACTGACCAGGTACAGTGCTTGTTTTATTACTTTCTTACCACACAGTGCTGTGTTTTTGCAATGTGTTAATTCTTTATCTTCATCCACCCCAGCCTGTCTGTGTGCAGCGGTTATCCTAAGTATTCAGCTTTTCAGAACAAAACCAGAGCATATCTTTTCTTGATCGTCTGTTTTTAAACACAATCCACTTGAAGGATCAGCTGTCTTACAAGGCTGCAATTTGTTTACTGCCAAACACTTCAGCAGTTGGGCAGAGTCTGACTGCTCAGTCTAGCTCCTGCCTCAAGCAGCATTCTGAGAGAACAACTTTAGTTTTATTTTAAAAAATGACATTGTTAGCTTTTACAATTTTAGAGAAAGCATTGCAAACAGTGACTAAGAATAATACCAAGACAGCGCTTCTGCAGAACGTCAGCCTCAAGAGAGACAAATGCCTTCCAAAACAGAAAGGAATGTTAATTTTGAAATTTACTAATGAGCATTTCAATGACAGGGATGTACTGGTCATACAGCTGCAGCCTTCTGCAGGGGCTGCACGCTCGTGCGGATGTGCATCCATGGGATGGGAGATGGGAGCAGCACGGGCCTGAGGGCTCAGCCCAGCGCCCAGCTCCCCCCAGGGCATGCTCCTGTCCCCCCCACAGGTACCTCTTCACCCTGCAGATCAAGAAGGACCTGGCACAGGGGCGGCTGCCCTGCAGCGACAAGAGCGCGGCGCTGCTGGTCTCCCACCTGCTGCAGTGTAAGGACCAGCGAGCTGCAGGGAGGGCCAGCGCCCCATCCCCGCACGGACGGGCTTTGGCTGAGCGGCCTGGGCTCCCCCCTGCACCCACCCTCACACCTAACCCCCCTCTCCCGTGTCCCAAAGCCGAGCTGGGCGACTTCCACGAGGAGACAGACCAGCAGCACCTGGCCACGCACAGGTACCTGCCCAACCAGGAGTACCTGGACAACAAGATCCTGCGCTACCACCGCAGGCACAGGTAGGGATGCTGCAGGGCAGCACACAGCCCCGGCAGCGGGGCGGGTGTGCCGCCAGCCTCTGCACCTACAAAATGCCTTTTCCCAGCCCATTTCGGCATCTCCCCTCTCTCTCCTGTCGCTCCCTGCGTGTTCGTGTCTGCAGGGGGAAGTCGCCGGCCGAGTCGGACGTTCAGCTGCTGGACGTGGCCAGGAAACTGGAGATGTACGGGATCCGCCCGCACCCCGCCAGCGACGGCGAGGGGACACAGATCAACCTGGCCGTGACACACATGGGCGTGCTGGTGCTGCGGGTGGGTGAGCCCGGGGCTCGGGGATGGCCTCTCCAGCTGGAGGTGACCCTCCTCCCTCTGACAGCCCCAAACTCTCCCAAATCCTACTAAGCCATGTGTTCACAGGGCGGGGGTGAAGGGGATGCTGTGGGATTCAGCCCCTGAGTGCCACCGAACGTGCCCCAGCTCTGCTGGCCCTTGTCCCACGAGCGTGGTGGCCGTGTGAGCAGCACAGGTTCCACGGCTCTGTCACATGCGCTCACCGTGTAATCTTCCAGCGAAAATAGCCCCCCACGTCTGTGCAATTACATAACGCTGTAATCACGGCCGAGCTGCACGGTAAATACAGACTTGCTCCCACACCAGCTGATTTCAACCTGGGAACATCTTGTCACAGCAAAAAAAAACCAAAACAAAACAAAAAAACCAACAAACCCAAACATAAAACCTAGCTGTGGGTCTGCTGTTGGTAATTAGTGCTGCCAGACCTGGTTATTTATTCAGAGCCATAAACACTCCTCATGCATAATTAGAGCATCTGTGAGCCCATTAAAATCTGGGCTCTCGCAGAAAGCTGAGAGGGTCCTGGTGCCACAGAGTGCAGTAACACGATTTTTCCTGGTTCTGCCATGTAGCTGCATCTAACCTTGTGCAAAATGATAACAGAGCAATGTGTGCTTAAACCCGGTCTAAAGGTGTGGGGGTGAGCTGAGCACTGCTACACTACCCAGCAAAAGAGGGGAGAATATTATTTCTTTGGGGCACTGATTCTGCCTTAACTTACATGGTATGTGAGCTGGCACAGATAGGACTCCCTGCCTTAACCTCTCTGAGGTTTGTCTGGGGATCCTGGACTTTTGCAAAGAGCTTCAGCAGGCAGAGTTAAGCCCTGAACCTCAATTTCTACTTGTAGAACCAACTGATGCAGTCAAACAGCAAACCCCAGCACCCTTTCCCCAGACCTCAGCAGCTGCAAGAGCTGCATTGGAGTCTGATGCAGTGTCCTGTGAGCTCAGGCTGTGGCCCATTGCATTCTGTATTTACAGGTTGCCCTATCCAGCTGTAATTGCTGTGTTTGTCCTTGCAGGGCAATACAAAGATCAACACCTTCAACTGGTCCAAAATTCGCAAACTGAGTTTCAAGAGGAAACATTTTCTCATCAAGCTCCATGCAAACATCTCTGTAAGTACCATGCCACAGGCAGCTGCTGGGCTCGGGAGCAGACAGCTGTGCACAGAAGGTCAGCCACACAAAGTCCCCAGTTTTGGATAAATCCATTCCTGCTGTTCATGATGGTGCTCCTTCTTGAGGGTGACATGTGCTACTCCTGTGTCCCCAGCGAGGTGACAGAGCACTGCCTGGAGCCACTGACAGCCCATATGACCCTTGGGGGATCAGGGGGCAAATGGCAGAGCTTGTCCCGTGCTCCTGACCCCGGCTGTCCTGTCTCTGGCAAACAGGCACTGTGCAAGGACACGCTGGAGTTCACTATGGCCAGCCGGGACACCTGCAAGGCCTTCTGGAAGACGTGTGTGGAGTACCACGCCTTCTTCAGGCTCTCTGAAGAGCCCAAGTCAAAGCCCAAAGCCCTTCTGTGCAGCAAAGGATCCAGCTTCCGCTACAGGTAAATTCCATGGGGAAACCCAAACTGCTGGGGCTGGGAAGGGCCCGGGGATGGCTCCGCGCCTCCCTTTTATGTCAGCCCTGTCTGAATCTGAGGGGGTGATACAGTGACTTCTCCTGGAAAGACTCCCTGCTGCATCCCCTCAAATGGGGCACAAGGCCTGCCCAGGGCTGGGGCTGATGGTGCTGCTCACATTTCTCCCTCCGTGCTGCAGTGGGAGGACTCAGCGGCAGCTGCTGGAGCACGGGAGGAAGGCCAAGATGAAGAGCCTGCCCTTCGAGAGGTACCGGGGGCCTGGAGGGAGGGGGTGCCTGAGGGGACTGGGCCCTCCTGGCCATACACCCATACAGACATGCTCTTCTTCTGCAGGAAACACTACACATCCCGCTACGATGAGAGGCAGTGCCGCTCCTCCCCGGACCTCCTGACGGATGTGTCAAAGCAGGTAAGTCCCCATGGCACCAGCAGCAGTTCTGTGCCAGGGTTTTGGCATTGCTGCCCCGTCTGGAGGCCAAGCCAGACCCTCAGCTCTGGGGGCTCCCTTCCCACCTGGCCCCCACCCCTCTGTGCCCTGTGCAGGTGGAGGAGCTGCGCCTGGCCTACGGCAGCCGGGGCTCCTACCACGCCAACGGGGTGCACGGCTCCGAGCCCACCCTGGACAGCCGGCGCCGCAGCTCCACCGTGGAGGTGACGTTTGCCGCCGAGCTGCAGCGCTCCAAGCCCGAAGCATCCCCCACCTTCCTGCCCCACTCCAAAAGCTCGTCTGCCTTCCCCCTCCTCTACGCCGAGCTGGAGATGGAGCGGGCCTGGGAGCCCATTGACCTCTTCGGAGCCAGGAATCCCTTGACATCCTTTCGGCCCCACCAGTTTGCTGGGAACAGTAAAAGCACCTCTGTGGGCAACATGCGGGAAGTGAGCGCCCGGCAGCTGGTGTACACGGATGTGCCCTGTCCCCTGCCCGTGGTGGCCCCGGCCCCCCCTGTGCTCTGTCTGGACAGGGCACTGCAGTCCCCATGCCCTGCACTGGCCCCGGGAGAGGACCCAGCAGGAGCAGCTGGTGCAAGTGGCCCTGTGGCAGCAAAACCCCCCGGGCAGAGCCCGAGCGGGCCCCAGGCTGGGCAGTTCCACGGTGAGGCTGCAGGCACAGCCATGGGCATGAGCATGGTGGGGCAGAACAGGTCACTGGCTCGCTCCTTCGATTACGGCCTTCAGGAGCAGCCTCCCAAGCGCTCTTGGAGCCAGTCGGACATGAAAACCATCCGCTTCCCCTACGGCTCTGAGTTCAGGCCGCTGGGGCCGTGCCCTGCCCTGAGCAGCCGCAAAGGGGGTCTTTTCTGGCACGTCCCAGCCCAGCGCGGGCTGGCTCCGGGGCCGCGGCGCTCCACCGAGCGCTACCTGGGCAGCAGCACCGAGTCCAGCGACTCCGACCCCGACCTGCTGGCCGCCGACTACTGCTCCCTGTACGGCCGCGTACTGCGCTCGCCCATGGCCCGCGTGCGGCTCTCCTCGGGCAGCCTCCAGCTGGATGAGGAGGATGAGGAGGTGTCCTTTGCCACCAGCGCTGCTGAAGAGAGGATTTCCAGAGGGGCCTCCAAGTATTTCACCTAGGTGCCTGACACCGGCCAGAGGGAGCAGAGGTGGCCGGTGCTGACCCAGGTCAAAGAATGGTGACACTCTTGGCTTTTAGGTCTGTTTACAGCTTATGAAACATTGATGGGATCGTGTTGTGTGGGTGCTCTTAGCTATAGAGGATGTGTTAATGGACATCAGGGTGTGTTCAGAAGTATTCAGCCCCTGCACACTTGGGAGCTCCCCCCACTTTGAGGGGGGTTCTTGCTTCAGCCAGAGGCCAGGGATCTCCTAAAGCCCTGCTAAGCCCCTATAACCTGCCCAAGCTGATGCTTGGAGCTCAGCTGCTGGAGTCTTCATTGATGGGGAGGGAGAAAACTAAAAAGAGACTTCTCACAGAATAGTTTCAGCTGCTGTTTTTCCCAGCTGCAAGGTGGCACACTGGAGGGAAAAGGGTGTTTCAGGCCCTTTTGGAAAGGAGCAAGATCTTCATGGGAGGCTGTTCTTCGAGCTGATGCCATGTGGACAGGGCAAAACCCCAGCACAGAGCCCATCTCCTCCATCTGCCTCCCCTCCCTCCAGTGCTGCAGGGAGCAGCTGGCACTCGAAGACAAGGCTCTGTGCGCGGCTGTCTTCTTCCTGGCCAGTTCAGAGGATTATCCTTCTCCAGAAATATCTCAGTAGTGCTTGTCAAGCTTTTAGAAGCCCCCCATGGTGAGCACTGGGAAGTGGGTTCACACTCTCTAACTGTGCTTTGCTTAGGCACATCAGCCATCACCTCCTGGCAGCACCGTGACCACCCCAGTACCTCAGTGCTCTGCTTAAATCTGAGGGAGAGAGATGTGTGAGGGGGTTTTTTGGGGTGCTTTGCTTCCCCAAATCTGTCCTCAGTTTAGCAGCATGGGAAAAAAGATACCAGGAGCAGTAGGAAAGGAACAAGGCAGCTTCTTGGAAGTATTTTTATTGAAAAACTTACTATGACACCTCCATAAGATTTTAGGGGGGGGGGGGATCTTGGTAATTTTCTTTAAGAACAACCCTGTAAGTTGTTGTAGGACATGACCATAAGCAGGGAGTCAGCCAAGAAAATCCACAGTGGAGAAACTACTGCAGCAGGCTAGAAGGATTTCAGAAACATGAAAACTGGGACAAAAATAATAGATTGAATTGTAGAAAGACCTGGGCTTATGGGTCCTGCTCACTCTGCATGTTGCTGTCCTTTGTTTTAGAAGGTGGACAATAAAAAACCTTTGTTCACGCAGGAGTTTTGAGTTCCTCCTTCTGCCCTGTGGAATCTGCACCCCCAGTCCTGCAGGCACAACCCCACAGCACACCTTGCCCTGTGCCTCCCAGCTCAGGAGCTTCCCTCAGTGCTCCCAGGAGCTGGTTTCCCTCTCCTGCTCTGCTGTCTGGTCTCCTCTGTGCCTTTGCACTGGGGAGACTTGTGGAGATGCCTGAACCCTGCTGAAAGCAGCCACATTCTTGGTTGCTTCCCAAAGAAATGCATTAGCCCAACAAGTGAGTACATTGTAAGGTTTGCTTCTGCTCTGAGTCACCCTGTGCTGAAGCTGTGAGCTGCAGTGATCCCTCACGCTGCTCTGGCACATGCTCTACTGAAAAAAAAATCTTTCTGGCTAGAGGGTTGTTTCTTCCCCATTCCCAAACCTCTGCACCTTGGAAAGAGCAAGAATTGACACTCAGTACAACGTTTAAGAATGGCAGTCTGTGGGCACAGTTTGATAGAGGGTTAAAAAAAGCAGCAGCGTTTCAAACACAGGCTGCACACACAGCCCTGGGATACTTCCACAATCACTGTCAGCTCCTCGAGCATGTGGACACACACCTTGAGCATGTCCCAGAGCAGACACAGTCTCACCACCGGAGATCAATACAAACATCCTGCCCAAATCTTCAAGGACTGCCAGGTCTGGTCTTCAAGACTATGCTGGGAAAACAGCATTGAGAGGGAGAAACAAGGATTTGGGAACTATTTTTGGATTTTTCCATGGACTAGGGAGCACTGGGGCACAGTGTGGGCACTGTGCCTCAGCACATCCTACACATGGTCAACAATAGCAGAGGAACAAAGCAGCACTAAGTGACACAAATGGACATCTCTGAGCTAAATTCATTGTGTAAGCCACTTTTTAAATTTTAGTCAGTGGGATTGACTAAAACTAAAGAACAATCCCAGTAAGCAGTTGCTTACTTGCCAAGGAACAATTAAAACAACCCTTGCCTAAGTCCTTCCCCTCACTCCCCGCTCAGCCCTAATCATCTCTGAGATAAGGACATCTATTTAAGTGACTTTGTTTCCCTAGGGAAGAAAACAAGGATGGAGAGAGGACGTGTAAAGCTTTGGTTTGCTGGTGGTGAAAGACAAACAGCAGAACCTGGAAAATGTAAACTGTTATAGTCCTTACACAAAGGATTATTGAAGGGGGGAAGGCACTGCAGCATCACAGTGGGAAAACATTAAGCTACTCAGTGCATTCAGATAGAAGTAACTGGTTTATATAAAACAGATAAAGGTTTAGACAAAATAGATAAAGCTGTGAAATAAGCCAACATACACACCACTAAAACTTTGCCAAGAGGAAAATAATTTTATTCCAGTGTTAAGTCATAAAACAGTGTGATAAAAATCAGACTTTTAACAATCACTAAACTTTGTGCAAACACATTCAAACCTACACACTCTCTCCTATTCAGCTGTCGAAATTGCAAGGCAAGAGCAGGTGTGATGGCACAGACATGAATAGAGGGGTCAGAGACCAAGGGCTTAAAGAATGGTTACATTAATAACGGACTTATCTACTCAAGAACAAATACATTTCTCTATTCTGCAATTCAGATTACTTTGATAAGATTTCTTCAGCAATAATTCTTCTCAACCTACAGCAGGAAGCCTGGAAAACCAAAAGAGCAGGAAGATGGTTCCTGCATGAATATTTTGATCTATCTTTCCATTAGCTATCTACCAGCAACAGAATACTGCTGATTAAGTTACACAGTTCATCAATAACTAAAACGTGGGAAAAAAGACAGCTCATCTCTGGAATCAGCAATACAGATGTCCCTTCTTAGGAGCTAATTATAGTCTTACTATGCACAGAGACTTCAGGCATATACAGCACAATAAAAAAACCTTATTGAATGGACTGTAATATGAATGAGTCTGATTTGTACACATGTGGGGGAGTTTTTCCCATGCTGTCCCACAAGGTAGGTTCACATCCCACCCATTCCACAGGAAAAGAAGAGGCACTATAGTTTAGCAACTTATTACAGCTGTATCTCAAATATGTCAGGTTCCAATTTCCCATGTCATTTGCTCGCCCCACCTACCCAGAATTGTTGACAGACTTGCATAGATTAAAGATCTTGCATCAACAGGGTAGCGCCACCAGTTACAAAACTCAGGAGGAATTCCCATCAGCACAGCCCTCAGACTCCCACAGGAAAAGAACACCTTAAGGGAAGTGACATGCAAGTAAAAACATGGTTTTAATTCTGAAAAATGTATATGGAGCTCCTTAAAATGAGATTTGTGTTGAGGCTGCAGAGGTGAAAGTTGAGGGAACTGTGGCACAGGCCTTTGTGTCCCTTCAGTGCCCCAGGCCGAGGCCAAAGGCAGGCAGAGCTGTGACAGAGCTGTGACAGAGCTGTGACAGAGCTGTGACAGAGCTCACTGCCAGCCATGTCTGAGCTCACACATCCCGGAGTTCCTCTCTCAGAAAGGAACCAAACTGAACCCCGGGAGTGCTCCCCCCATTCCTGGGGCACAGCAGCTGGAGCTGCCCTCTGGCCAAGGACAGAGCTTTGCAAAGCACCATGCAGGGAACACCTTTCTCACAACGTGAGTCTGTGCCAGACATGTCCCCACCTCTGCACAGCTGCTGAAATCCAGAATAAAATGATGCGCAACAGAACAAGCTCATGAAAGTTTACAGAACTTAAATATTTATTTTTAAACCATTTTAAACCCCCCAAAACATTGAAATAAGCTTCATCTATAAACAGATTTACAAGACTAACAACTACAGAAGCTAGAGGAGCACTACAATTTGTTTCTGTGATGCAGTTATTTTGTAAAGCTTCAGATCAACTGTATTTACAACTTTTGCTGCTTTTACATTTATAAAAATATTTATTTAATCCATAACATTATTGTTTTCAAAAACTATTTCCAGACTTTTTTCTCAGATATAAATTCTAATTGAATTTCAGTTATATAGCAGATGAAAGTTTTAAACAGAAACATTTTTTTTAAAATTAAAACAAGGAGTTAAAAGTAATTTTTTTTACAGTGTAGGCACCATTGAAAATAATTGTCCTTGGCATATCTAACCACCATCTCTCACAAGTGTCCTTTATATAAAAACGATGTAATGGCAACATTTGACGAAAAATGCAGTATTTACTTGCACACCATTACTTTTTCAATATTTGGCAGATATATTTCAGATTCTTTAAAATGACTTTTGTGCAAAAACAAAATGTGCAGGTCTGAACCATAAAATAAACACACCCAGCCTTTATCAAAAATAAATTTACACCAACAGTTCCACAGCTAAGTACTGAAAAACAATCCCAGTTCAAAACTTCAGCATAATATACATACTGGGTTGAAAAAGGGAAAAAAACAAATCAAAACAAAACAACAGAAGAGATTACCCATCTAGCAGTACCATAAATATATAACTGAAAGTAACTTTATAGTCTTACCTACTTTTTATGAAAAAAATCACTCCGTACTGCACAGTACTACCTTTTTGTGAAAGAATATCTATAACTCAGTTATTTGCATATTAACTGGTAAATACATATTTAAAATACACTTTCAGAAAATTATAAACAAATTATGTTGATGTACTGTATTTAATGTATTTCAGAACAAAAATGTGTATAAATATCTTACAGGAGAAACAACACCACCACACAGAACGCTGGTGTTACACCGATACCTGCGTGTGAGGTATGTAACATGCGACGCTCGGCTTCTCTGGCTCCCTTCCACCCAGGCATGTATACTCAGAGGAAAAAAAATTAAATTAAGTTAAACTGGACTTCAGGTTTTGTCCATTATTGCCGAAAGCCCCTCCCCCTCAACTGTATTGCTCTAAATTTTCCTACCATGATGATATAAGATTGAGTTACTACTTCAAAACCTGTTCTAAAAGGTAATACACAGACTGTACATCAGGACAGACCTGTTGCTACATATCACCTGCAAACTATTGCCATATTGCTCTCAAATATATTTAATCATAGAGCTGCCTAAAATACTGTACCAATTTAGAATTAAAATAGATACTGTTGCAGGTTTGTTTTTCAGGGCACGATAACTATATGCTGGTTGAAGCATGTGCTACAGCAATACCCTTGCCACTACATGTCTTGAATATGCTTGTGAAAAAGCTATTTTTCTTTGAAGCTCATTAGTGATTTACAAAAGTTTAACTCATGAATATAAAAGACCTGTACAACTCCATGTACAGGAACAAAACAGCATCAAAACATACTGTACTTGCACATTCTATTAACTAAAGTAATGGTTATTTCTAAAAGCAAAACTGCACCTCAACATTTATCAGATTAAACAGGTGAAACTACAATATTAAAAGTTGTCCTTTACAAAATAATTTCCTGAAAATATAAAACCATGTGCACTGCCACAAAATAGTTGAGTAGGTTCTTTCAAATCCTCAATCACCATCAATATGTTGCAAAGATCCAAAAGGCACAAGGAGCTCATGAGCTAAGCACTGCCAAGCTTGAAGTAGTTTTGGTGGGTTTCACTGGGTCCATACGAAACAGCAGTCAATTGTGTGAAGTTTCTTAGGATGAGTCATTAACAGAAAATCTACAGACAAAAAATGCAAGTTAAAAATTTGTTTATCACATTGCTTCAGCTAGGCAAACAGCACATAAATATTTCTGCATCAATGAACTAGTACATGGATTTGTCTCAATGGCTCATAGTACAAAACCCACCAGAAGTGATAGTCTCAAGAAAACATTCCTAAAAAGTATAAGAAAAAGAGTCTCTGTCTCCTCTCTATTGCCTGTAAATATGCTTAAGACAAACCTGCAGGCTAAATTAAAGAAGCAAGATATAGCAACTACAGTAAAGCTGTAAAGACCAGATACAGTAATTGTTAGTATTAGTTTTGGTCTCAGACAGAAGTGTTACCTGTAACTACAAAGCTAAAGCACTGGACATAGCAGATCTCTCTCTTATCACTAAACTACTTA